ACATGCTATACTATGACTTTTTACGACATGCTATACTATGACTTTTTTCTACATGCTATACCAGTGATTTTCAACTGCTGTGCCGCGGCACACCAGTGTGCTGTAAGAGCTCGCCCCTAAAAGAAACATGGAATTATTAACAGCTAAGATGCAAGAAACCCGACCAGAGGTAAAGAAACTCTTTATCGTCTGTCATCATAAACCACCAGCAAGTTTCAGCTTGAAAAAAGTCAACATGATGTACAAAGTGACATTACTTGAACAGAAAAACAATCAGATTCGATGTACGTATGCATTTGCAATGGAATATATATTTTTAAATAAAAAATAAATCTGCATTGTGCTTTTATTTTGAACGGGAAATCGACCAAACTTCCGTCCATGCTCTGTCTCTCTCGGTGTTGCTTGATGCGTCTTTCGGCTCATGTACTCCAGAGAGCAGCAGGAGGAGTGGCCCCTGGTTCCCACCCACTTTTTAATGGAATTCTGCAAACGTGTAATGCCTGGCCCATAGGCCTGGCTCCATGATTTCAGTCACGTATGAGACTGAAATCAGTCCCGTGCCCCCCCCCCCCCCCTAAACGGATGTTATTCTTTCGTGTCACAGTGAAGTATGGCAGGCATAGGCCTATTGCCTGTGTTCTTATATTTAAACGACACACAGAATTACTTTTCGGGCTTAACAGTTTGCCTAAAAAAAATAGGTCCTGGGTCTTAATAACCACCCTGCTCTACCAAAATAAGTCTGAGTCTTATAACATTATGAATATGAAATGTTACAGATATTGCAGACTCAGCGGTTATTTTTTTCGCTGAAGTGATATGTGTCAAGTATGCACATTATTTTCTCTTGGCTCACCAACCCAAGTCTCAGCTTGTCAGTCTGCTAAGAAAATAGGTAGCCAAGCTGAAAATACTGTTAGAGCTCCTCAGACAACTATTCAGTCAATATATTTTATGAATAAATCATCTGTCAAGAGTTTGGGATCTGAAAGCAAAATGACTGAAACATATTAAAAACCAAAAACATTAAGATCACTGTTAAAACGTAAATGTTCGTTCATGGGTCTGTTGGGTATTTTCACACTGAGGAAAACTGGACCCTCTGGCCTTTCTTGAGGTCGAACTCTCGTCTGCGGCGTCTGTGTGTCAAGCGAACCAGAGTGATCACCATTTATACCGGAAGTATGGAGGTCTTTCTTCAAGGTAATTGTCGCGAGTTGTATTTGCTACCTAGTTGATTGAGCTATATTTATTTATTTTACAAATAAAACCTACTCAATGTTGCCGTAGCCTGTAATTTTATATTTTTATTTTATTTATTTTATTAGTCTTATCTTCTACCACAAAAATATTAATTTCATGAATTCCATTTTTTTTTTACTATGTGCTACAACAATACACGACAATCTGTATTTTTTTTTTCACATGTGCACGCAAAACACACACAGTACTTGAGAAGCCTCTAATGCAACTCAAAACAATTACTTTGAGAGAAATAAATGCAGACATGATGTTCCTCATGTTTTTTATACTAAATGCGTGTACTAAATGTGAAAATTGATCTTTGGAGAAAAACACCTTCAAAAACACTACAGCATGCTTTGAAGGATGGCTGAATATAATAGTACATGTCTGTGAAATTAAAACAAATGGGGTCAACAGACCAGAAGAGCAGTCGCTCAAATAAGACGGGCTTTTATTTTGAAAGTTTTGACCCGTTGTTCTCGGTTTCAGCATCTCGATGGACGCGACTTTCACAGCATACGTGCAGGCAGTCAGTCATGAGTATTCCCTAGTAAAGAAAGAAGTTTCCCGATCCATTCAAAACAAGAACGCTCTACTGCTCAGAGCCGGTTGAGGTAAAGATGCTCCTGAGCAGCTTTTGTCTGGCCCTTCTCATCCCGGCCGTGGTGGAGGCTCAGTATGAGAAGTACAGCTTTAAAAGTTTCCCCCAGAAAGACATGATGCCGCTGGACTCTTCGTACAGCTACGCGCTGGAGCAGTACGGAACGCAGAACTGGGCAGAGAGCATCAAGTTCCTGGAGCTCAGCCTGCGCCTCCACCGGCTGCTGCGGGACAGCGAGGTTTTCTGTAGCCGCAACTGCAGCTCCGTCAGCCGGGACAACAGCACTCTGTTCGCCGACGGCAGCCTCCGCGTCGTGCGCCACATCCTGCTGAGAGCTGCGTGCCTTAAAAAGTGCAAGGCGGATTTTCCAGTGTTTAAACTCTCGTATCCAAGTAGGGATTTACTGGAAACATTCGAGAAGAGGGTACCCTATCGGTACATACAGTATGCGCACTACCAGGTGAGACCAATGTGTCGAGTGTTGTGTGCCCAAGAGGGCATAAGAAATGTAGGCCCTTACCAATAAATCCTAAAGTTACACCAAATGCTTCCCAAAGTCCCACAAAGTTCATGTTGTAGAAATGTCATATGGGACTTAAGATATAAACTTGTTAAAATATGTACAATAACACAGGAGCATACAGTAGGCTACGTGTGTATTTAGCATAACTGTGCGTAACGGGCGCGATCACACAACAACTGTATCCGCAGTCGGTTTCTCGAGGCAGATTGACTCGGTTTGACTCACCGAGAGGACATTTCTAGTCTGCGAGATGTGCAGTAGTTTCCCTGCTGCTTCGTTGCGCCCTCCTGCAGACCAAGCAGTAGCTGCGCATGTGCCACGTCTCTTCCAGTGTTCCCCTGAAACAATCCCCTCATTCTTCTCTGTCAGGCAGGTTAATGGGGGACTAGGTACGAGGCAAAACAAATCTGATCTCATTTCTGTTTTATCATCTTTGGTTTCATACATTATGTAAAGACTTCCAGCTGTTGTTATTGAGTTATTGTGTATCATTAATTCTATTGGTGTAATAAACTGCATAACCCCTTTAACTGCTGGGACTGCTTCATAGTTTTGTCTGGTCTAACCAGTCTGGTAGATTAAAAGGTGAATCAAAGCTCTCAATCTGGTGATCAAACAGCCGCCAAGATCAACAAACATTCTTTTAAACATGCCTACAGGATTTACATTACTCTGATCTTACTTACTGTATTTGTTTTACGGCATTGGACCATAAATACGAGCAATTAGCAGCATCAAAAGGTGGACCTCTCCTCTTCCTTCAGGAGGGAAGTGGGAAGTTGAATTTGTTTATTACACTTCGTGTTTTGGCCGAGGCTACCCTGAATACCTGACATTCATGTCACATTCATTTTCTATTCACTGACTCAACAAGAATTCCTATTCTGACATAAAAGCTGTCTATTCTTCCTCAGCTTAACAACAAGGAGAAGGCTGTGGCAGCGGCTCACACCTTCCTGAAGAAGAACCCAACGGACTCCTATTTAACTAAGAACATGAAGTACTACAAGACTCTTATTGATGTGGAAGAATATCTAATCGACCACGAGGAGCAGCCGTATGAAGTTCGTAGATAAACATTGTCGTTCTTACCCAGGGTGCAAATCAAACACATGCTTAACTATTCAAACTTTTTACATTAACACATCTGTTTTTAATCCAGAGTGTTTTCCTGAAGAGTGTGACGTTTTACAACAGCGGAGACTTCAGCAACAGTGCCCGAAACATGGAGCAGGCCATCACACAATACTTTGAAATATACAGTCTCTGCTTGGCAGGCTGTGAGGGCTCTTATGAGATCGTAGAGTACAAAGACTTCTATCCCACCCTGGCAGGTAATAAGGGACCAATTTAACATCTGTTTCCGTTTCTTGTGTTTTTGGAAGAAGTAATTAATATGCTTGTTTGTTCCCTTCAGATCTCTACACAGATGTGTTGAAATGTAAGGTCAAATGTGAGGAGAACCTGACGCCCAACGTTGGAGGCTTCTTCGTGGAGAAGTTCGTAGCCACCATGTATCACTACCTCCAGTTTTCCTATTATAAATGTAAGAATTGTGACAAAGGCTCTGGATTCAGGCTTTTGACAGCAATAAGTCTAAGACTGCTTTGACATGTATTATGTTGTGATCCTCTACAGTGAATGACGTAAAGAACGCTGCTCCGTGTGCAGCCAGTTACATCCTGTTTGACCGTAAAGACCAGGTGATGCAGCAAAACATAGCGTACTACCGCTTCTACCGGGAGCAGTGGGGACTTGAGGAAATGGACTTTCAGCCTCGGCCCGTAAGTGAAACAAAGACCTCTTTACTGTTCCCTTATGGTACTTCCTGGAAGTTGGTGGTTGAACCAGAGGCGGCAGAGGGTGTTAACATATTTCACACTGCTTTTTACTAAACCAAAGCGGGAAAACGATAGCATAAAGCGGTCTTGGCATGAACATAAACACAATCTCAGGGTGGTGTACTCTTGTAAAGGCAGACTTGTTTTCACATCTTTTTTTCTTGGTTCGGAGTTGCCAGCAGCTGCAGTGTACCAGCTCTGTTTGTTAAACGTCTTTGCCTTTTGAAGTCAACAAGAGGACAACAAGGCCACATTTGTTGCTTAGTGCCGAGCTATAAAACAGGCTTGTTCTTGCCAGCTACTTGGGTCAACACGCAGGTTTATGTCACTTTTTGTTTTTCAGGAGGCTCTGAGGTACTTTAACGAGACAACCAAGCAGAAAGAGATGCTGGAGTTTGCACTGAACTACCTACAAACTGAAGATGAGGTATGTTGTTGTACTGTTGTTACAAGGCGTAGACGGTGGCACATTTACCGGAAGCATTGGTTTTGGGCAGCAGAGTGAAATAATAGAGAAATAGAGAAGACTCAGCAATGTGTATGCATGCAGTATATCTACCCAAACCTCAGCTAACATTAGCCACCATACATCATTGCTCATACCAGACCAAATCAGGCTGTAGGTGCCAAACTGTACTGACATGCATCAGTATTGCTATCATCTGCAAGTTAGAAGAAAAAAATGTCACGTTCTGGACAGAATACAGGTCCATTTCACCCAAATTAGACATGTTGTTTTATTGTTATTTTATTCATTTATTTTGTTATCTCGCTATGCTGATTTTATGTGATGAGGTCCATTGTGCTGGTGTGGCGGCAGAGACATACATTTCAAAACCTCAGCAGATAAAACCTAAACTGACTAGACAACCCGAGGGGAACTTAGGTCTGACGACTTGGCTCAACAACAACAACTGAACTGGCTAATCTATTTGGAGTTTCGGCCCTTGTTTCCCTAAGTACAAATTCCACCTTTTCATTCAAGTATTAAATATTATAAAATATGTTTGGGAGATATATATCTTTTGGAGGAGTAAGCTAGCAGACTAATTGCAAGCTGCTGTTGAGGTTGTGGATAGGGGGGGGGCACAAGAACAAAGTCTGAGAGGATGAAAGGGAGAGGAAGAGGGGATGAAGGCTGCGGAAGAGAACGCAGGAGGGGGGCTGTGTTTTCCGCCAGCAGCTTGTGGTATGTGGCTGGGAGGTGTTGGCCACTGAGGCTGTGCCACATCCATTTAACTCAGGTCAGCCCCTCCCATCTCTACACACTGCCTGGACCCTAAATGTTGAGGAGGACTGAGAGAGAGTTAAGGCTGAATTACAGAGTGCACAAGTGACAGATTTATAGACCTAAAAAGGAAAAAGTATGCATTTCGCCAGATAGAAGTAAGATAGTAAAATGCTTGCTTGCTGTTGACTGAGTGTTTTGTGTTACCTTTAAGGGCGAGGTAAGTCCAGAAGAAACGGCCTCCTCTCACACAGAGCATCCTGACACTGAGTTTGAGGGTATGGGAGACTACGAGGAGTCCTTCCTGGCTGAATGGTGGCAAGAACCTAAAACTAAGTGGGACGCTGGACAGGTCGTAGACTGACATCTGTCCTCATCTCCTGGGCAGAGAGCTTTGTCGTCCGGCTCTGTTCCCCGTTTCCTGACAACATACCAAAGAGTGTTGACCTCCCTACAGACAGACATCGACATTTAGCAGAAAAATAACAAACCATCAGTGTACGTTCCACCAGCAAAAGGATAAAACGACAAACTTATCCGTCGTGTTGATCGAGATCAGAGATCGACATACTCTGTTTTGGCTGTCATTAGCCTTTTAAAACCTTCATCTGTATTCTTAGTCATTGTATGCCAATACTTGTCATTGATTTTTCTACAGTTTTTATTTAATGACAGCTGAATGCCTCGGTGCCGTGTTATGAGGAAGGTGACATGTAGCTTTTCTTATGCTGAACGATTTGTCAACGACCAATTGGGTAGTTGATGTAATAATTTCATAATTAAAGTAATATTTTAATATACTTTTTGTTGTTGTTGTGACTTAATATCAATACGATCATCCAAGAAAATGCACGAGGCACAACATAATATTTGATAGCAGTAATGTTCATTTGATTAGGTTTTGGTGAGTAATTTGTAAAGAAAAAGAAGATGCTGGTTCCAGCCTCACAAATTAAAGGATTTGTTCATTTTTTTCCCTGTTTTATATCGTAATTTGAATTCCAGTTTTTAGTCTGATTAAAAGGACCACTGAAGGACAAAACAAATGATTTAAAGATGCCAATCTGGAAACAGGTAGAGGTTTAACCACCACTAACAAAAATAAAAAAAACATTAGCAACATTAATACATACATTATTTATTCATTATTTCACTCCTAATTAAATGCTATTTATTTATGCTTTTATGTGCACACTTCTAAAATCAAGTGTATAAAATTGACCTTTCTTTAATTTGTTTAAGATTTTAGGACCTGTGGTGGTTCTAGGTGGGCTAAAAAGCCTGAACCCCCCTCGTGTACGGTGATCAGAACTACCTGTTTGTCCGGGATTAAAGCTCTGCGCAAGCTTTTACACAGGAGTATAAATTAGGCATTACTCCTTCCTACGTAATGTACCCATCAAAGATGCTGCAAGAGTACATTTCAGGAAATGACGAATAAAGAACATCTAAAAGATCATATTAAGATGACCAGATAGCAATACACAATACCTGGAAGAGAATGTTTCCTGTTCGACCTTGTGACTTGCAGTTTGCATGTTCGACCTATTTGACTAAAAAACAAAAGGAAGAGCTGCTTTGCCTGGCTCTCTGATTTACATAAACAAATAGTACAAAAGAAGGTTGTGAGCAGTAGAGAAAATGTGTCAGTTAATTTTCTTTAGTAAAATTATACTTCAGGATTATTTGAATATATTATATTGAATTGACTGCTATAGTTATTATTCATATACAAATATCTGAAACATACGGTGGTTGGTTGACATTCAACTCCACCTGTGAGTTTGTAACATCTGTCCTCAGATGATAATAAGCCACCACAGATGGAAATTAGCCTTTTGCTTCACTACAGGCAAGGTTTAATGTGCATTGTTCATCCATCCATCCATCCATTTTCCTCTGCTTATCCGGGGTCGGGTCGCGGTGGCAACAGGCCAAGCAGGCTGACCCAGACTTCCCTCTCACCGGCAACATGTTCCAGCTCATTCTGGGGGATCCCGAGGTGTTCCCAGGCCAGCTGGGAGATGTAATCCCTCCAGCATGTTCTGGGTCTTCCCCGGGGTCTCTTCCCAGTTGGACGTGCCTGGAGGCATCCTAATTAGATGCCCGAACCACCTCAGCTGACTCCTTTCGACGCGAAGGAGTAGCGGCTCGACTCCAAGCTCCCTCCTGATGACCGAGCTCCTTACCCTATCTCTAAGGCTGAGCCCGGCCACCCTACGGAGGAAACTCATTTCGGCCGCTTGTAGCCGCGACCTTGTCCTTTCGGTCACGACCCAGAGTTCGTGACCATAGGTGAGGGTAGGAACGTAGACCGAGTGGTAAATTGAGAGCTTTGCCTTCCGGCTCAGCTCCCTCTTCACCAAGACGGTCC